AAGATAATTCTAAATCCACTGCAATAGCACATTGCCAGAGAACTGCCAGAGGTTCAAACAAGATGCAGACAAATAAATGGAACAAGGGATATCATTGTAGACATCAGGTGGATCTTTGCTGAAAGCAGAACATACTAGAAAGATGTTTGCCTGTGCTTTGTTGACTTCAGAAAGACATTTGACATTGTGAAGATCATGACAAGCAACATACATCATTGTGGAGAATGAGTATTTCAGAACACTTGATTGTGCTCATGATGTACCTGTACATAGACAGCAACACTGAATAGTTTAAAATTAGTTAAGGCATGTGTCAATGTTACATTCACATGATTTACTATGCCAGGAATGACAAAGTTAAGAGAAATGACGTTGCATACATCATCAAAAAGAACATTTCAAGAGCTGAGCACATAATCCAAGGAATTGGATTTTATGAAGTAGAACTTGACATCAGGATTGGAGGAAAACTCATTAATAACCTTTGATTTGCAGCGGATACAACCTTGCTTGCTGAAAGCAAAGAGAACATAAAATGCTTCCTGATGATGATCAAAAACCACAGCTTTTGTCATGGGTAGCATCTCAAGATAAAGAAATAAAAAGTCTTACCATTCTACTAATAACTGACATCAAGATAAATGGAGAAAAAAATTGAAGCTTCCAAAGACTCAAGATTTCTCTTATCAACTGTCAACACTCATTGAAGCAGCAAACAAGATAATAAATTGATGTATTTCATTCAGTAAATCTGCTGCACAAGACCTCTTTAAAGTGTTCAAGAGCAAACAGGACTAAGGTGCACCTGATAATACCTCATATGCATGCGAGATTTGGAGTGAATAAAGAAGATCCAAGAAGAATTGATGCATTTTGGTTATGGTGTTGGAAAAGAATATTAAAAGTACTATGAACTGACAGAAGAATAAACAAAACTCTTATTCAAATTTTTGTTGGAAGAAGTACAGCAAGAATGTACTTTACAAGCCAGGATGGCCAGACTTCATCTCTCATAATTTGGACCTATTATCAGGAGTGATCAGAAAACATTATGCTTGGTAAAGTGGACGGTAAAGAAACAAGAGGAAGACCACTAACGAGATGCATTGGCACAGTGATAGATAGCTGCAATGGGCTCAAGAATAGAAGCAATTGTGAGGTTGGTGCAGGACCTGGAAGTGTTTCCTTCTGTTGTGCATAGAATCACTATGAATCAGTATTGACTCAATGGCATCTAACAACAACAACAGTATATTGTCTATTTTTTTTTTTTACTGGAAGTTGAGCCATTGGGATAAATTTAATTTCATACCTCAGGAGTGACCAAGGACAATAGTCTCTAGCATTCCACCAGTCTCTGTCAGACCACTAAGACTGTTTACTATATGTAGTTTTAGTATTGTTCCACAAATGTTTACCCTATTCTATCCATGACTCCCTATTGTGATACATTTCATAGCAGTCAGCAATGTTAGATAAACACCATCTAGTTTTAGTCACAGAGACATGGCAGCTGAGGCTCATGTGGTACATTATTCTATTGGACTGATCATTTCTGTGCATGTTTGACTTTCTTCAATCTTTTTTGCTCCAGATTTGGAAATACCTTAGATGATTGCCCAAATACTTTTAGGACCCTAATCACTACTCACCTAAGCAGGCTATATATAGAACACTGTCCTTGTGAACAATGTTATACCAATTAACCGTGATATGTCTCGTAAGTATGGTCTTCAGTACTCCAAACTAAGTGACTTATAGTTTCTGGTTGTTTGATTATAGCTTGGCACTGCACGTTAATGCGCTGAACTGTAAAGTTGGTTTGAACCACAAGGTTGATGGTTCAAGCTCACCAGGCACTCCTCAGAAACTCTTTACAGAGTTGCTATGGGCCAGACCCGACTCAATGGCACTTAACAACAAGAAGCTTATATACTTTAACTGTGTTTGTTTTACAGAAACTACTAATCTGCAAATGGATGCACAGTCAGATTGGCCAAAGGGACTA